TGAAACAAATTGAAAGGGACTGACAAACCTACCTGCTCTGCAACAAAGAACATAAAGCATCTCAAGGTGACCTGTACCTACCTGCCTAGCTTTGTTTTTCAACTGTAGAAGATATGCATAAAAAGTATCTGTAAAACACCTAAGGTAAATGACTGAAATAGGTCAGATAAATTGATTTTAGTACAGCTCTTTTTTCTCCTTTTACTATAAAAGGAATCCAGATTTCTTCTGATGGAGCTCTTCGTGTTGTAGACCTCTGAGTCTAAGGGTCTTTTCGGAAAACCCACTTCTAGCCAATAAGGCAAACAAAAGCCTGTTCCTCTAGAAGGAACTTCACTTCATTTCACAACATGGTATAAGCTGAGGATGCACGAAAAAAAAGTTATTTGGGCTTTTACAATAATGACTTCAGGATTTCATTAATGAATTAGCTATCCCAGTGGGAAGAAAATTATTCCAGCAGCTCCCATACTCCTAAAATTAATCCTTCTTTAAAAATTAAGTGGATTTAAGATAATTTGCCTTGAAAACAACAGCTGCAACTTTTCAGGGTTTCACAAAGTCTAGACACTAACAGAAAGCCTTCCACTTCCGGTGAAGTGAGGTTCTTACATTATGGTCCATGCTAATTTTACGGAGGACAAACTCCTTTTTTCAAGTCAGAGAAACCAGTCCTGAATCACACACAAGATGGTCACTGTTTTCTGGTGCATGAGCCCTTATGGCATATGATCTACCCCAACAATCTCAAAAGTGTTTATTTTCCTGGGCTGTGGAATCTTCAAGGCTCAAATTGGGCAATTCTCTGCAGTTTCTTTTCAAACTCTTTTTCCCTCCAACTCACTTGAAGGACGTTTGCCACCATTGTATCAGCTTCGACCAAACTCTAAACCCAACTTTTAATCCTTGCAAGAGTTCCCGGTGGTTTGATTTCTTGTCCTTTCCCCTTATTCCTCCTCAGTTTAATATAGAAAGAAAAAGTCCACATTATTATTCTGTTTTCATCACCATATTTATCCTTACTTTAATATCCATTTGATATGGAAAATTTGCTATAGATTTGCTAGTTTGTGGAACAGAAAACCTCAGTGGGGAAAAAACATAGCAAGTGTCACAATTAATAGCAGAGAAAATGAGGCCAATGACTGTAGAAAAAGAGAGAGGGAGAGCAGACCTGGCTGTTACACAGCCTGAGAAACAGCACTTGTTGCTTTGGGACCTTCTCCTGGCTATGACAACCCTTCTGCCCAGATTTTAACCTCCTCCCTTGAAGAAGCAGTTGTGCAGAGCAATTGGATACAACAAACCACACTGGGATCTGTGCTGTATTTTTATGCATATAAACCAGGTGAAATATTTTGCATTTTTTAAAAAAGTACCATGATTTGTAGTATTTCTTGCACTTAGTGCTGGCTGAACATCCAAGGAATCGCCATTTCTGCTGTTCATGTGAAATCAGAGGGAGAAACACAAAGCACAAGGATTGCTGGAGGATGGAGCAGACATAGGAAGAGAAACTCTAGTACGTTTATTTTCATGTTACACACAGATACGTATAACCAGCTCCACAGCTGAAATGTGCATTTAATTTTACTGATAAGCCATGATTTAAACACTTCAAAATACAGTAGTGTCAAAAACCTCTTCATATAAACTTAACAAAATTGTCCACTTGCTGTCATGATGTTTTTTCCAGTACTGAACCTGGCATTAGATCTGAGTATCTCTCATTGGCAATGTAAGCCATTCTTCTCTCCTTGCAACACATTTCACACTGCCCATGTTTTGTTCATAGTACTGGAGCATTGCCCCTGAATTCCACACTTTCTGCACACACAGTTGCATGTTTCCCAGAGGGATACAGAAGCAGAGAAATAAATCAATAGACAGTTCTGTCTAGAAAGTCACGGTTGATTTCAAGTAAATACATTTTTATCACACAAGACCACTTTGGGAGAAAGTGAGTTGTTCTCCGTTTTCTTGCAACAGGAGTTTTTCTGAGCCAGTTGCCAACATTTTTCAGCATTTGGCTATGAAAGCTGCTAAACGTATAAATAAAGGAATTATCATGGGCTTTCATGACATCTCTATCCACCTTCCCAGTATTTTCATGTTTGGATCCAGCTTCCAAAATTCAGCCAGGTAAATATCAGAGCAGAGTGATCAATAACTCAAGCACTGACCTTTTGGGAAGAAAAACCTCCAGTGGGCATCGACTACTTTTTAGGAACAAAGTGCATCTATTTCCTTTGAGAGGTTCCCCATCAGGAACAAGAGGGTACTGAGCTGTGCTGTCACACAGCTGTAACTTGGAGACCTCAACCTCAAGCCAGCCCACCAGCCCACATCTTTACTTTTTTTTTTTTAACTGTATTTATTTTCCTTTTAGCAGAATTTTTATGAATTTTGACATGTCTGTCCCAATAGCACTTTCACAGAAGGTTTGACTTGGTGCAAGATTAAATTTTCTCAGTTTTGCTCTGGATGTTTGGCCGAAAAAGCTTAGTAATTTTTGGTTGTGAATGTCACTTCTTTTGACTGATACCAAATTAAATGCGGTAAAACCTGCTTTTAGGATTAAAAAAACCAAACAACACGTTAGTTCAGAATTGGAAGTGAGTTCCCAGTCATTTACTTCTCACTATTTCTCTTCTAAAATTTCCCCATCTGTGCACACTTTTCCCCCCACCACTTCCCCTTCCTCACAAAACCCTTTGTCTTCCCTAGGAACAAAAACTTGGCCATTTTGTTTAAGATCACATAAAACCTTCACCCTACAGCTTCACATCCCGACTTTGACTGCAGGTCTGTGTGCTCATCTACAAGTCAAGAGATGCATTTAACAATGCTGAGCTTTGCAGCCAAGGTTGCAAATCTTCCATGAAGAGAGGAGAAGAAAGCAGTACCACTCATGAATCTCCCTCTGTGCACCAACAGGAGACACTCTCTGGTCCTAAATGCTTAAGATACATTCATAGAGCCACAAAATCTCGCAGAGGAATGTCTCCATCATATGGTGGATGTGTGAGTATGTCAAACTATACCATCTTCTCACTGCTTTGGCTGGGTGTCTAGGATAGTGGAGAAGACACAGTTTCAGTGACTCATAGCTGGGGTAAGGAGGGATAATCCCTGGGCTTGGTCTGGGAGTTGCACAAATGAGGCACAGGGTGAGGGATGAAATCCCATGCAGCCTCTGCCCAGGTGGTCCCCAGCCCCTTAGTGGGAGCACAGAGCTTGGTCCCCAGCACAGGGCGGGAGAACGGGGACCTGGGCAGCTTGCAGGCAGCAAGGCACCGCTGGCACGGCATGAGCAGAGGGAAATAGCACTTTAATGTCTGGTGGAGGGAAAAATGATCATACAAAACTGGTTAGAAATGTAAACATCACTGATAAAACTCTAAGTGTCCACTTGGGGGTGGCAAAGCATTTCAGCTGTGTCTTCAGGGAGCAGCAATTGCTTTTTCTCTCCAGGGCCTTGTGTGCATCTGTTACACTCTCTGTGGCTCTTTTCTCAAGACTGCAGCTCGAAAAATGGATTTGACAGAAAACACGGGCTAAAATTCCCCTTATGCTGCAGGAAAATGTGGCTCATTCACTGTCATGACCCTCCCCAGGTCTCACATGACCTAGGAGTCCCACAGCAAGAGGCAAAACAGAAGACTTTGGGGCAAACAAGGTAAGAGCCAATTTTAACAGGGGGATAACCCATTCCTCCTACGGTGGGAATTGTTATTTGGCCCCCCAGTGACCAGACTGGAATAAGCCTTTATGCGTACAGTGTATCATCTTTCAGGAACTAATGTTCTTATTTGTTACGATAACTCTGTGTACTCTGACTATGTAAGTAAGTCCCACCCCCTTGATGACACACATGGGATGATTTTCTGTGGCAGTGCGTGCCAAGCCTGAGCCCAGTGTGGTGGCTAAACCTAGCCCTGCCTCATGATGCACAAGGGAGGCATTTCTCTGAAACGCAAGCAGGTTTTGAAACTTGGGCTGCAGAGGTTTATAAATTTCTCTGTATGTAATGGATTCAGCTTGTTCTCCCTTTACAAAACTCTGTAGTGTCCTGACCTTGCAGTCAGTGGAGCTCAGGAACTCATCACCTCAGATGTAAGTGTGCTGCCTTCAGGGTCTGTTTGCGTGGCTGGGATACAGGAGTGTTTCCCAGACCTTATATTGTGCTTTGTGGTAAAAACTGAATTCAGTAGATGCAAAATCACTACAAAACTCTTCTTTTTATTACCTTTGTATCAACTTCTCCGATGCTTCAGGTTTGTCCCAATTCCATTGTAAATAGTTTCCAGCCTGTTTTCTAGTGGTTGCCAGCCCCATGTAGTTCTCTGACTCTCGTAATCTACCTGGTATGGGCAGGTGTGAAGTATGACCACGAGGCTTCAGTGGCACTGACAACATATAAGTATCTGAAATTTAAGGAATAGTAAGAAGCTGTTGCAAACTACAGGACATGGGACACAGCAGTAACCTACCCCAGTTCATTTGTACATGGTCAGGCTCAGTTCAGGCAGAGGGGCAAAACCGAAGTTGTCCGATGCACAGGATAAGCTGCAAAGACTGTAGACATTTCGTGTTTCCTGGGTAGATATCCTCCACCAGCTGCATTTTGGGCAAAGGAGTCACACCAGTTACAACCTCAACTCCCAGCACTGGCTATTTCCCAGGTAATGTAGATGAATTTGTGGCATGCACGTGCCATTTCAGCACTGTGTAGATATTGTCAGACATAGTATGAGGAGATACAATAGTAATGTTGGGACCTGTTAAAAGTAATCCACTAGAAGGTAGGTTTTTTGACAAAGTGAATCAAGGAATTAATCACCATCCCACACCCGAATCTTCATCTAGCTCAGAAAGCAAAAGTTTCCTTTTCATAATTACTGGCTCCCTGGTTCCTCTGGCCCAGAAATAGCTATTGCTGGTGTCTGATGTTTTTCAACCCAAGTGAAAGCTGCTCTTGTTCATGCCTACTTGCTCAGGTTGCCAGGAGAGGCTTGCAAAAGCTGCACCTCAAGAAGATCATAGGGGAGAGAAGTGAGACTGGCTTGCTGGAAGGTAGAAGTGAGTAGACAACGCTTGTGCAGCAGGTTGCCCCATTTGAAACTAAGTAAACTGACATTTAGGCTGGTGCACAAAAAGCCATTCGGTAACATTTGGATAAGCCTTGTCTCCCTCCTGTGCTGGTGGCATTGGCAGCGTGTCTCATTTTTGCAAAGCAGCTCCTTGCTAGCATCGTTGGCAGCCGGTAAACTGAGATTTCCAGCCCTCCTATTAACTTGAGAATAGTACAATGCTTCTCAACCATCTGCTATTTACAGTCTCCTCCTTCATTCATTCAACAAGACACATCTGTGAGCTCTTCTTGCTGAAATCAGTCTTTTAGGAGAGTCTCTCCTCCTTTCTTAAAGTCATTTTCTTTCACTTCTCTCTCACCTGGACCACAACAAGGAAAGTCACAGACCAGTAGAGAGCTGAGAACTGCTGACAGATGTCCTGTGGGTGCCAGGGAGACTTGTATCTTCAGCAGAGTCCACAAGATTGTGGTCCTCAACCACAAAGATGCTCTGTTGTGCAGGAACCTTGCTAGTGGGATGTTTAGGAGCCCAGTGCTTGCAGCAAGGAGAAATCACACTGAGGAAAGCCATCCTGAAGCGCTGGGACAACAGATTGTAAATGATGGGGTTCACAGCAGAGCTCAGATAGAAGAAAACACCTAGGACAACAAAGGTGAGGGAAAGGAGAGAGAGACCTCATTTGTGTGTGAAAAGATGTCAGAAGAGGAAAAACTCTTTGTTTCCTACACTGCTCCACCTAACTTGGATGCAAGGGTGGAGGCAGCAACACCAGAGCTCTGCCTGCTGCCTTCCTGGCATAGACAGAGGGATGTCTCACCAAGGCGAGCTCTGGAACTGCAGCACAGGGGGAAAGGAAAGTGGGAGAGAGTATTAACTGGAGCTCACTAGCTCCAGCTGTTCAGGAACCAGCTCTCTCTTAAGCTGTACTGACCTGCCTCCAGCACTGCCCTCATCCCCACAGCAGGATTTGCACAGCTGGTGCTCCCATCAAAGCTCTCAGAGGATAACTTCCAGCTGAGGGGAGCTAATTTCTTACAACACACCAGGACAATTGCATGAGATTGCATCAGTCTGAGCTGCCTAGCAGCCACATTCACTGTTTTCCCATGGTAGACTGAAAATAAGATTCCTCCTTAAAAAAGGCTTCATTTTATGGTTGGCAGGGTTATAAACATTTGGTTATATCACCCAATTCTGAGCAGTGTGTAAGTCTTTTGCCTTGCCATTTGGTAAGGTTTCCGGTTTCTCTGAGAGACCCTCTGGAGAATGAGTCTGTTGCTGCTTATTCATTAAAAGGAGATGAATGACAGTAGCCTTAATTTCTGAGCATTTCCAAGAAGGAAAAGTAGCTAGTAATGACGAATGATATCCTTTTTTGTTCTGTTTTGTTTTTTCTATTCTTTATGAATATTCAGAAAACTGTATTGGACAATATGCCTAAATCTTGAAAGCTGCAGAAACTTGCATGCAGTTTTTATTTAAGGCACAATTCTCATCGCTCTTTACCAAACCCCAAGAAGGTTTTCTATGCGTGTCTCATGTCACCTACATGAAATATATAGTCATTTATTAAGTAAACCACTCGCAAATACTTTTTTTGCCAATCCCCTTACAAGTGGAAGAAGAAAGCTTTACCTGACACCACATGAATTAAGTTGAATATATTAGCCAGAGGCTCAGTCCATTCCACAACAAAGCTGAAGAAGAGTCGATCTATATGGAATGGAGCCCAGCAGATAGCAAAAACCATCACAAGGACAACTAGCATGGAGAAAGGGGAGAAGAAAAACAGGTCTGTTACGGAGAATACTGTTGTATTTGCTGAATTTTCTTGATACCCTTCAGGACCTGGTCACCCTCTTGTTCATGGTCAATACAAGACAGAAGAAACTGTCACTACTTACACAACATCTTGGTGACTGATTTCCTGGATGGTCTCTGAACATTCACAGCCATTTCCTCCACTTCCAAAGATTTATCTCCTTTCAACTGGCAAAAGGAGGGAAACCGAAGAAGAGCTTAGACAGGAGATAACATCCCCACCAGACATAGCCTCTTTGATATTTTGATAGCTGTAGTTTAAGAAGTCAAAATTTGAGGTAAGTCAGGACTCACTGAAAAAAATCTACATTTAAATTTCAGTTTTAGTCTAGGGAAACATTGAAAACTTTAGGTTCAAAACAATCTGCAGATTTTATCCGTCTGGGACTGCATATTTACAGCAAATTTGTATTTATTTCGGTTCCCCACTTGTCCTTTCTCAATAAGTCAATATTTGGTTCACAGTTTGTGTTCAATTTCAACACTATTTTGCTAGGCATTATTTTATTTTCTAACAAAATATTGTTTGATTGTTTGTTTGTTTTCCTAAAAAGGTTCCCCACAATTAAGCACAAACCAATGATCCAAAAAATACCCAGAGAGGCCTCAGTGAAACACAGCTGTAATCACTGGAAAAATTCCTGTAGAATTCAAGGCAGCTCGTTTCGTGCCCTGAGTGTTTGGACTAATTGATATTCAATCCATCTAATGAACAAAACCCATATATGTTCTCTTGCAGACAGCCGATGTGCCTGATATTCACAGATTGAGCCACATACTGCTCAAGGCTTTTTTTTTTTCCTTTCACAAGTAGTTTTTCCTGGACTTCTAAATAATGACATAAAGGATAATAATCTGATCCTCCCTGAAATGCTTCCCCAATATGCTTATGGTGAGAGCATTGGTGCTTCGCTGATGAAAAAAAAAAAACAGGGTTAGATAATCAGGACAATTGCTTTGATTATAAAAGTAATCATCTATGGAGAGTGCATAATTGGACCCAGCTTCCTGAAGTGGGAACTTCTGATTAGCCAACAGATTTGGAGTGATACTTTTTACAACCGAAACTGGAAAAAACCCTTTTAATTGCATGGGAAAGAATATCAGGAATGAGGGAAAATTTGGGGAATCAATTTGGATTTGTAAAAATCTTATGAAAACATGCTAGTTGTGCCATTTTCTTTTGTCTTTTACACTGTGACTTTTCTTCCAGATTTCTGATTAACAATACTTTTCTGTAAGGATGATCGAATGAGACCTTCTTTCAATGTTCTATTTATGCATAAAACCCATAAAAGGGAAACACATGTAAATCGAATTATATTCAATTATAGTGCAATTCAGCCTCCCACATTTTACATAATTCCCTTTGTAACTTTTAGTCATAGCCACAGCTGCTTAAGGAAGATGTAACACCTCTAGCAATAGATGTCTGCTCAGATTGATTAAAATCCCTAGTTTCCCTTCAGTGGTTTTCAGTTTCAACAGTAATCTATTCCAGGCATATTCCGAAGCCTCAGAGAATGCAGTGCTCTGGTGCTGTAATAAACTAGAAACACATGTATATTTTTCACCTTCCTCCCGTCATTTTGATGATGCTATAAGGTTCCTCTTTAGCCTCAAGTGATAATAAATGGGGGTGTAACTAGTAAGAATAACTCAGCAGTTGCAATTTAATAAAACAATGAGTTATGACAAAGGGTAAGAAAAAAAAAAAAGAAAGGAGATCATGGTGAAGGTTGTAACTTGAGTTCATGCCAATGGTTTGACAGAGGGAGAACTCCAGCCAAGGTAGTGGTTACTTTTACATCACTGTGGATGTATGAGGTTATGTAGGGGTGCCTGGAGATGAATGTTACCTATTCACTACAAGAGAATTAAAAGTGTCTGGAGCAAGAAGCTGAAAATTGGATTTACTCCCCACATCTTTATTAGCTACAGCATTTCATACCAGAAATCAAAAGGCAGAGTGAAATTAGGGCTTCACCCATCCCCAGGCAAACCTAGTGAAGCCACTCAGCCAAAGCCGGTGAACCTTTTTCTGTAAGTTTCTTGGCCTGACACAAGTGGTGATCAAAATTTCTCTCCAGCTGATGGAAAAAATGGATTTTTAAAAACCACATGACTTGTGCTAAAGCATGCAATTCTTGAGTGATTTGGCTGAAGCAGTTCTCACCCATCTGCTGAACTGCAGCCTGGGTGTCCTCGTTGCTCACTCCCATTACAAAAGACAATTTGTTAGTGGGTGCAAAGTTTGCAGGACAACCTCCATGGAGAGAGGACAGACCCTTCCAGAGTGTGCTGGTCTCTGCAGAAATTAGCCAGCCAGCCAACTATCCACAGACAATATTGGTTTTAACAACTTAGGAAGCAAAATAGATTCTGATGAAAAAATCTGGACCAGCTGTAAATTGGCAAGAATAAGTTGTCCTGATTCAAAGATAGTTGAAATCAAAATCATCAGTGTGTCCAATGTGTTACTGATGAGAAAAGACTAAAGAAAAGACTAAAAGAAATGTTGGACTCTTAAGAGAAAAATCATCCCCAGTGAGGTTAATGTCATTCCATCTGATCATCTAGATCCCCTCATAGATGCCTGAAGTAGGTGGGATAAATAGGTCTCTGGACTCTCCATTCTCTTCATTCATTACCAAAAATCCTAGTTAAACAGAATCTGACTTTTAAATAGCCAGTGATAGCCACCTATCCCGGTGTCTTTTAGAGATCAGTTTGAAGAAAATAGACAGGGACCCTGTGCTGAATCCTGCTGCAATGCAGACTTCTTCCCAAGAAACGCCACCCCATCTCTATCTCTGCAGGGACAACCTTCCACAAGAAGCCATTTTCTCCCTCTCCTCTTCCTCCTCAGCTTTTTGGCTATAGGTTGCAATCAGTAGCCCAACAGCTGAACTGGGTTTAAAGAAGAGTCTGACTGATTTAGGGATTGGTCCTAAAGGCACCTGTGATGAAGACCTCATGAAAGAGGCAGCAGGGAGATTCCACAATCATATAAAATGAGACTGCAGTGTAATCATCAGTGGTCTCTTCTTTACACTGATGATGGAACTCTCTATTGACCATATCATTGTAGTATTCAACCATCAAAACTTAAAAGCTATATCCCAGTAGATCGTGAGATAATTGGCCATGAGGTAATCAACATGAAGGCTCTGCTGGCCATGAATTTCCTAGTGAGAAAGAAATGTTTTTTTCCTTTTTGCAAGGAATAAAATTAAAAATGAACTCAGCTACCATATGACCAATGTTTGCTGCCCTCTCACAGCTGCTTAACATGTCACATGTGCTTCCTTCTGTATTGCATCCCCAGGCTCTCCTGAACACTGGCAAAGCCTGAAGGAGAAACTTTGGCAAGGAAATGCCTTTCCACAAAACCTGGACTTGGAAAGTCTATGCTCCTGTTTGTTGAATTTGAGCTGTTGTACAGCCTTTGGATCAACTCTGAGCTTTTCCACTACAGTCTACGAGCAATACACGGCACTCAGGAGACTCTGGAGTGTTGCTGAAGCTTCATAAATTTCATCCTCTGTGAGTATATTAAAAATGTCTTCTCTTGGAAAATTATATATACACAGCATTCTTCTATCATTTCTGTTGAAAAAATGAATCTATCTTGCATAGTGCTATTTAGAGTGCAATGCAGATATACCCAGGATGGGTGGTGATCAAATTTTGGAAGGCTGAGTTGGGTATTCAGAAAAGCAGATACAGAAACAATGAACATTGCAGCCCTTTGGAAAGACAGCTTGAACATATCTGTGAATACACAGAAGTCCCAGGGATGCAGCCCTCTTCTGGTACCTGCCTTCTCTTCTGGGATGGGGATTAGGAATATCTGCTGCCACAAACAGACGCTACTGCAATCTACAAGACTTCCTTTCATTAGTTTGAGGGTTTCTCTTTCTTCTTTGAACTGCTGTATTTTCAGCTTTTTTTCCTCCCTCCAGGTCTTATTTTGCAAAATTTTCAGTGAAACTATTTAAAGATCTCACAACAGCTGCTGGGCTGTGGGGATAATTTAACCCATTTGTTACTTCAAAGATCTACTGTGTGCTATGGATTTCTGGCAGTTAATCCTTGTGGCTTTTCCTGGATAAGGAAAAAGTACCTCTGCATAGTTTTGAATAACAGCAAATATCAGACAGCAAAACAAAACGACATATACACCAGCACGGACTTGATTGAATTTCTTGTACGTTATTCAGTAAATTCACTCGTCTCTACTAGTGTATTGCATCCCTTTCTTGCTATATGATCAGACACAGACTTTTAAACTTCCAAGTTATATTCAGTGCAATGAGATAGGATTTACATTTTCAAAATACAAGTAACGTATGATAAGAACAGTTATTGATTCTCTATGATTAGCACTGCATTTCAGTGCTGTGCTACATAGCTTTATAATACTGCAATACTGATTGTTTTATCTACGTATTTAAGTGATGAATACTTTGTAAAACTAGTCTCACTTTCTGTACAGAGAATGAATACGAACTCTAAAATAGCCTTAATCGATGGTGAAACTATGCCCTAGTTATATAAAGAAATGATTGCCAAATTTGCTATCTGCAGCAAATTCATTTCAGTTTATGACATCTTTGTGAGTTTTAACAACTGACTATTATCACCACTTGCAGGGAAGAAGACAATAAAGTAATGTCATGGAAATTCCAAAGTCACAAGAAGAGGGAAAACAAATAATACACAAGATTCAATCACTAACCTGCTCCTTTTTAGTCTTTTCACATTTTGCTTTTGGTCTATTTCCTTCTAGTCCCCACTGCAAAGGTGCAAATCTCTGAGAGGCTGGAATCAATCTACAGACTTGGATGTTTAAGTAACATTCAAATGTGAGCAGCAGTGATGGTAAGTTTTTTTAAAAAGATGGTGGTAAATTATTTCCCAACATAACTATATTCATTTAAGAATGGGATTACACCAAAGAAGGAGCTGGATCCACTGTTTTCAGAGGTTTGAAATACTTTTACTTTGTGGGGGGGAAAACAGATGGTGAAGAAAAAGGTGAAATCACTTAAAAGACATATACAGACACAAACACACAAGAACAAGCTAAGGAAACACGGAGCACAGTTGGAGTAAGACTTACTCTTAGCCCCATCAGATAGTACAGCACACTGATTACCCCCATGGGCAGCACATAGAAGAGAAAGGAAGTAATCTGGACAATGCAGTTGTAGATCCACATGGGCATGACCACAGTGCAGGTAGCAGAGCCAGGGACCAGGGTGCCATTGGGGAAATACTGCAGCATGATGCCATGGGTGCCTGTGTTGGGGAGGGCGAAGAGGACAGAGAGGACCCAGAGCACCACGATTGTCCTCAGGGCACGCTTGCGAGTGCTCTCCAGCTTGGCACGGAAAGGATGGAGGATGGCAATGTATCTCTCCACGCTGACTGTGGTCACACTGAGGATGGAGGCAAAACACACCGTCTCAAAGAGTGCCGTCTTGAAATAGCAGCCAATGGGCCCAAACAAGAAGGGATAGTTGCTCCACATCTCATAGACTTCCAGTGGCATCCCAAAAAGCAGCACAAGCAGGTCTGAGACGGCGAGGCTGAAGAGATAGTAGTTGGTCGGGGTCTTCATGTTCCGGTGCTTGAGGATTACCAGGCAAACTAAGAAGTTGCCTACCACCCCAACAACAAAGATCAGGGTATACACCAAAGCCATGGGCAAGAACAGATGGCTCCGTCTGGGCCCACATAGGAAAGCTAAGTAATCCTCAGTGCTGTTCAAGTACCTTCTGAAACGTTCTTCATGTAGAGCAAAGTGATTAAACCAGGAGATATTGCTGATCCAGGCCATTACTGGATCTTCTGAAATGTTTCACAACCGCAATTCTGTCTTCTTTAAGTTTCTCTGTGCTAGTTTGCTCACTTTGTGCAGAGAGAGTAAGAGGAGGGGGGAGTTGTCTTGCCAGACCTAGATGCACAAAGCCACCGAGAGATGCGAGTGAGTGTGTTTGCCTGGCTTCGGTTAAGGTTTTGCTGTTGTAACAGCTGTTCCCCTGCAAGGAGTCCCTCAGCCAGAAAGCCCCTCCTTTCACACATATTCATTGGCTCGCTAAGTGCATTAGATTATAGAGTAAGAAAAGAGGTTCCAGCTACTTGTATCAGCTCCCGTAGCTGATGCATTTACTAAATCAGAAACGTGGGATTTAGAGAGCTGGGAATCTGAAGGATAGGATGTGAGACTGACTGCAAAATGTTTGTATTTGTCAGAGGGTGGGAAACCAGGCAAGAACCCCCACCAGACTCAATCCAAAAAGATCTTACAAAATTATATTGATGCTACATCCAGTTATGAGCCACAAGCAAGTTAAAAAAAAAAAAAAATCTGGCACGATTTTATTTTTCAGATCTCTGTTGATTTTTATTTTCTGTTGTCTAGGGCAGCAAGTACTTGGAAACAGAGTTTGATCGGTAGAAAGGCAACCTGTTTTTGTAGTCAGTCATGTGGAATTAGTCTACTACGTTTTAGCCTTTTTTTAACACAGTATTTTTCCAACATAGTATTTTAATTGCTATTCTTGTTGATATAAAAATATTTTCCCACTTTCTTGGTATGCTGGAATCTGACCCCACATTCTTAGATAGCTTTGTTTCAAAAATCTTTCTGAGGACCCTCTTTTTCCAAAGACTTATTTATTGCCTCCAGGACTAAATTTACATGACTTTTTTTTTATAAACTGTTATTTCTTTCTGAATGGCAACCATTCTGCAAACACACTGAGTCAAAAAAGTGTATCCTGCAAGGATGACAGCTGTGTCAAAATAGACCATTAAGATTCTTAGGAATGCTTAAATTTCTCTAAAACAAAAAAGCTTCAAAGTGCATGGATGTAATCTTCTGAGATTTAGAAAAAGTTTAGCTGTTTGGAATCCAAAAGGTGTAAAAGCTGAGGGCTAGTTTAGGGAATCTTGACAGTTTGTGCAATTTGTCTGCACAGTACTTCTGAATGGCAACCATTCTGCAAACACACTGAGTCAAAAAAGTGTATCCTGCAAGGATGACAGCTGTGTCAAAATAGACCATTAAGATTCTTAGGAATGCTTAAATTTCTCTAAAACAAAAAAGCTTCAAAGTGCATGGATGTAATCTTCTGAGATTTAGAAAAAGTTTAGCTGTTTGGAATCCAAAAGGTGTAAAAGCTGAGGGCTAGTTTAGGGAATCTTGACAGTTTGTGCAATTTGTCTGCACAGTACCTCTCACTAGCTCTCACTTTTGAGTACCTTCCCTGTCCCTTCCTTGAAACCATGTAAACTTTTTACATCCTCAAGGCAAGGAGCTCCGTGGGTCTACTATCCATGTGTGAAGAACCACCTTCTTTTCTCTGTTTTACCCTTTAGCTGAGTCTCCCTGGCTACTAACCTAAGACTGCATATTTTTTTACCATCCAGGAGCAAAAGAACAGCCCTTTTAGCTGGTGTCTCCTCCAAAATCTTGACGAAAGCAATTTTTCCAAGGAAGATGCACACTACTCCACTCTAAGTGGCTAGACAGTGACCTGATCCCACACAAAACCTGTTTTCTGACTCTTAAGAATTGAGGCTATCTTAGATCGTGTATTCTTTACTCCTTTAACTTCTGGTTTGGCAGTGGTTCAATAATCTTGGAAGAAAAAAATATTTTAATAAGCACAGACTGCCTCCAAAATAGCAGCAGCAGGTAAAGGACCGAGGTTTGGTCCCACAGAGGCATAGTCAGTGAGTGGAGCCTGAGAATTGCTGTGCATTCATTTGAAATGTTAGAGGCATCACAGGAACCACAACAACCATACTAAAAGAGAGAAGCATATCTCTTGTGACAACTCCTGGATGTGCTAAAATTGTCTCGCACATAAACTCTCTCCAGCAGAAAGACCCTACTCATTTATTTTAGCATTGCACCGAGGTATTTCGTTCAGCAGATTGAAAGGTTTTATTGGATTGGTGAGCAACAAGTGTGCTCTTTTGACCTATTTCTCCCTTCATTAAAGATTCATTTTAAAGTGATTCCTTGCATTTTAACAGTGTTGAAAGAATATGAATTTGATTTTGAACTGCTGTTGGTGAAAGAGTAGGAACAGAGGAATCAGTAGTAGGGAACAGGACTGACTGTTTCAGAGCACAGTAAAAAATAAATATTTGAGAACTTGTGCAAGACTAAACACTTTCTGTACCTCTGCTTAACTTTGGGGGCTTTTTTTTGTTTTGTTTTTTTCCCTTAATCTCTCAGCAATACTTCATTTCTTTCCATCTCTTCTTCCCTCCCCAGTAAGTTCCACCGCTCTTTATACTTCTTCATAACTGAGGTGAGTAAACACTTCTCTAGTAGCTACCAAATTGCTCTTCATTTTTCTTCTTACACATTAACTTCTGTGAAGAAACTGAAAAGGAAACTTGAGGTCTGTTCAGCTTGAACTCAATCTTACAGAAAAGGAAGCCAAGATGGATTGAGTTATTTACTAAAAAAACCTAACAGGGCAGCCATACCTGTCATGATCTCTGTGAGAGGAGAGCAATGGGCTGTAGAAACACATTAGTCCCTTGTATGTGCTAGGACCAGCTGTGTCTACTTCCACTTGTTCTCCCTCCTCCATCCTTTCTGATTCTGCTGGGCTTGGGTGCTGAAAAACTGTACGAATAGAAGCACAGAAGAAAATCAGGTCTATTTGTCTAGCAGGTCACCCCCAGAACCATGTCACTATGACCACGATTAAGTGGCAGATGGAAAGGACAAGGAGAGTGGAAAACATATTTCAGCTCATTTCTTGAAGCTTTATTCACTGTTCTTTATTATATCTGTCTCAGTAAGGATAGAAGAGTGTATCTAACAAAAGGCGAGCTCTCACTCTGTGTGACTGGAAATATTTTATTTTTACAACTGAGACAGAAAATAAAAACAGATTTTCCTTTAAAAAGTAATATTAAAGCATTTAGTATTTTTCATTATAAAGCACATTTCATTGGTGCTTGCTGCAATACACTCAAAGGAAGATGGAGTTCTGCATGCTGGCCTTAAAATTGTGCAGTTTTATGTTATAGTAATGTAACTAATGTACTGCAATGTACGCTATGTAATGCATATTAATGTAGTGAAATATTTGGCAACTTTAACCCAGAAAAAGTTTTTTGGCTAAGTGTCACTACTGGTCAGAGTGTGGCATTATCTCCCTAGGCTCTGACTATGTCCTCTTGCTGGTGGTATCTCTTGTACAACATGTACATTGTGGAATCTTTCCCTTAGCCAACATGATGTGCTACAGCACATTTTGTGTTCCACTGAGAGCAGCAAAGTGCACATTTAAGAAGAGGTAAACTCAAGTGTCTTCACGTTTCCCGAAGCACTTGAAAGAGCAACAATTATCAACTATGTATTAGGTCAGTTAAGTGGAGAATAATTTTATATTTAGGGAAAATTGGACACATTCGTCAAAAGAGACAGAGAACAGTGGAGGTAATCCAGAATATAAAAAATGCATAAATCCTCCACTGGACACACTTAGGGCCAGATGTACTTTGAAGAACTATGGGCAGTTATGATGTTCTGCTCTGAATACTTCCTCATCTCAGAATGTAGGATTTTATTAATGCAAAACAGGCTTCTTTTGATATTTATATCTATGCAGTGAGACAAAGAGCCTTCGCATCCAGCTTTATATGCTCTGGTTGTGGAACTGTAAGAACTATGGCTGTGCTAATGCCATGGCGTGCCACACTAATTAATTCTGTTGATTAGCTGAGAAATAATACTGCCCTGGCATGTCCACTTTGCATTGAGGACTTGAGCTGACATCTCTGAGAAGCCCTGCGTGGGATGTTGCTCAGGGTTTGCAAGAAAATGCAGTAATGCTTAAAGTCCACTCAACTTTCAAAAGACATCCTGCTTCACTGAAAGGGACAGAAGAGGTATTGGGTTTGCCATAATCCTTGGCAAGCGGGTGCACTAATTTTTATCTTCAGCTGTTACAACCCAGTCTTTCATTTCTAATTTCTGATTTGCATTTGCAGCCATCAGATTCTGATTTTTCAGTGGTTTCACCCTTCCTCCAATTTGTAGATACTGAAGGTAGGTGCAAAATCCTTTAGAAATTCTGAGGGGACTGCTATCCAGCATGTCTGAGCTTGCTTTCACTACTCCTTTCATGGAGCCTTTCAGAGCTGGCCACGGAGCCACACCAGTGTCTGAATTGCAGGTTCAAACTCACTGTTTTAATCCTTTGAGAACCTGGCAGTACTAAGTATCTCTTGGGATGCAAAGAAGAGGATGCAAATAAGAGGGCGCAGAGCCGTTAAGCAGAAATTAGAGATTTTTTTAGAATTAGACATTTTTTTCTCCTTTGAAGGGCTTGTTAGGTTCACTATAGTAGCTGGAATGTGAGTCCTTGTTTTTCTAAGTATATTCAGTATAACATTCAACATGTCATCAAGTGCATAGATACGTTTTGTATATTTCTCTCCCTCCAGGCTGGAGGAGTGAGCTGCACTATAATAACAGCTGGATCTGCGGTAACCTTTCCATGCCTTATTGTAAGTCATTTTGCAATTATCTAGGCTCTTTGTAGACAGCTTTTCCATGGCTGTGCATGACTTCTGAAGTCCCCAGGATATCAATCAACACATATAAGAAGTGGATTTCATGACTACTGTACAAAATACCAAGGAGGGCACCCCTCTGCCTGGAGCAGCTGGCAATCTACAGACAGTGCAGACACAGGCCACTTCAAGGCATTTTGCCTAACTTTGGTCATTAAAACCAACAAATGAGTCTATGCAGATTTTTCAGCTCCTACTTTAGTCAATAATGGAAAGAGGAACATCCAG